GCTTTTCATTTCAACATCCAACGGTTCATCTTGTAATTCTCACTTTCTTCACCAATAAAACCAAAATACGTTTAGTATCATTCCCGCATAGACAAGCAGTCATCAGCATGGAACACCAAATTCCATGGAGATTGCCAAGGACGAAATATAATCACGTATATGCAGTAATAAACACAAACAAAACCATAACGAAGTTCATACAATCTACATTGAGCAACAAAATATATATGGCGAGTACATTATTTACATGTTACAACTATATCTTCATTCAATGAGTCGGATACTATTCTGTACCGACAATACACACAAGATTCCGATTTCATCATTGGATACAAATGCATAATCATAAGTTTAACTTGTTCTATTTTCTAAGTAGACGTCCAAATCTAATATACACATATATATATACTACTAGTACACTAAGGTATATCATGGAAGAATTTTCTCCATAAAGACAAGACAGTTTTTTATTGCTAAAAACATGGAAAGTTTAGAGACTTTAATTTGTCATTTCATAAGGATCCGTAAATCCATTTCATAAGGATCCATTCAAGATCAATATTTCTATTTTCTACTACTACTTGACCATATTTCCTTCCCAAAACCACAATTAGTATAAATAGCAAGAAAAGTTGGAACTTAACGCCAAAAAGAAAACAGGAAAATATTACTAAAGCAATAGGTATGCCATAACTAGTTCGAAATTAGCACTTCAAAAAAAAAAATCAAGGTAAAATTAATTCCGATTATTTTCCGAAAAAGAGACGAGAAAAGAGAAGAAATTGAGAGAAATTTTGTTTCTCATTCACCACCTATGGAATATATTTATATTGTTAGTGTAATTTAATAAAAATGGAACTTTAGGAATTCTTTGCAAAATATTAAATTGGAGTCTAATATGCATCTTAAAAATAAATAATAATTGGTAAAAAAAATTTACTATAGTTTCCCATTTCTGACTGGTTTTATGAATTATTGAGAAGTTGTTTTCAAAGACTTGAATTTATTCTTCATATAACAACTTGTAACAATTTTGGATAAGGTTCATTACTAATCTCCACAACACAGTGTTTTGATGTTTTTATACAAACAGATGATGATGTCCAAATGTAAGCATATGACTGGTAGATAGCATATATAACTGAATAAGAGTCCAAACATATTACCTATTTCTCTTCTTTCTTTACAGCACCCACAAAACCTTCCGATTTCTGGTAATTCGAATTGAAAAATGCTCCTTGGTTGCTCTGGAGAAACCTGTATTGCAAGATTCGCAAGTTTCGTTTTATATTTACAGAAAATATATGTGTATGTATAATATCAAACAATTCGTAATTCATTACACCTGAGCAAATCGTTCAATCTTTGCTGCAGCTCCGTTGGTGTCTCGGTTTCGAGCATGTCCGGTAACTTGACTGAATATACGAAAACAATTAGTCTCTGTAATTATTAATCAAACAAGTTAATAGAAAAAAATTGTGTGGATAGAGAATTCCAGCATACCGAAGAGTCTTAATAAATGCTCGGCTCCATATACTCTAGAAGGAGATAGATACATTATCAGCAATCACTTCTTTGTACTGTGTGCGCTCGTGTTTGTAGAGGAGCATTCCCCTTCACAATTTCTCCAACTGACTCAGGTATTGACGACGCCTGCATCACAGCAATGTAAGGCCACAAACTGTTGCCTCAAAATGGAACAACGGATAATAGAGGAATAAATTCATTAATAATAATAAAGCAATTGGAAAATCAAAATCAAAATAAATAAATAAAATAAATAAATAAATTAAAAAAAAAAAAAAAAAAAAAAAAAAAAAAAACCTTTGTTCAATTGTTGGGGTATGTATGCTTCAACACAGCCATAGATAAAAGCCCACGCCTTTGATTCGAATATGGATAGTTTCAATCGGGTAGAACAATCCCAGATCTACCAGAAATAGGATCCCTATTCGCAATCAGAAGGGACGAACAGCTGTTCCTGAAGAAATGATTATTGCTGATTCGATCTTCAAACATAAATCACAGATCTTCCAGCTACGACGAAAATGATTGACCAAAAAAAAAAAAAAAAAAAAAATTGGCAACGAGATGCAGCCATTTTTAATCCTAAGGTAAAAAGAAATGCAAACTTTTCTTCAAACTTGTATTTTCGCGTACAACACGTGCTTTCACAATTGGCACCATATTTTAATAATTATTAGGGTAATTACAAACACCCCCCTGAGGTATGGTTAAATTACACAAACACCCCTCTAGTTTGGATAATTACAACCACCCCCTCAACTCCGAATATTATCACTTTTGTACCCGTTTTATCCCATTCAAACTCTATATTATGAAGCAAGATGATCATAATATGTGATTTTTAGCTTCTATATATCAGTTTGTGGTGAATCGGAAACTGTATTTTTAAACAAAACGAGTACAAACTAGAGCACATTTCACGGAATCTAGATGATTATGTTGAATTTGGCACCATAAGGGTGGAGGTGTAAGAAAAAATCATCGTTGATGGGGTAGATGTAATTATCCAAACAAGAGGGGGGGTTTTGTAATTTAACCATACCTCAGAGGGGTGTTTGTAATTTACCCTAATTATTATTATTATTAATTACTCCATTTTGAAATTCAGTAATGACTAAAATAAAAAAAAAAACAAATAAAAGGGCATTAATATTTTTTTTTTCCCGTAATTAGGTTCAGTAAATAGGAAACTGTATTTTAATGTATTACTACTTCATAAATAAATAACAATTGTTTTTTAATACTAAAATCCACATAACACATTTCTAGACATGCTTCATTACTCATTAGTAATTTCCATATATAATTTTTTGGTTTTATTTTAACCAAAAAAATATATATTTCCACATATGATCGTTTCATTCATGGTTATAGAAATATGAGTTCAATGACAAAAATGCAAAAAAAAAAGTGATTTTCCACATGTCATCTTGTGGTTCATTCAAGGAGTCTCTTTTAAATATTGGTGTTATTTGACAAACCCATCTCATTGAATTTCGGCTTCATGATAAATATATTTTCTTAATTAATATTTATTATAAATACAATTGACTCGAATTATCTAAAATGCCCCAATTTAATATTAATGAAAGTTACTGTATTATATTATTATGGAAAATCCGTTTTTTTTTTTTTTTTTTTTTTTTTTTGTAAATATGCAATCCCGTGATTTAATATGCTTCATAGTCGATTAATATACCTGATAGAAAAATAATTAAAAAACGAAAAAATAATAATAATAATAATAATAATAATAATAATAATAATAATAATAATAATAATAATAATAATAATAATAATAATAATAATAATAATAATAATAATAACAAATAAATAAATAAGTACCCATTGATGGACTTATTTGTAATGACCCCTTTTTTAAATACCCGGCAAGTTAAATTCCGAATTGTAAGTTTTTTCCAATATTTTAAAAACCGGACCGATCATAGAACCGGATAGTCTACGATACTGGGTCACGGTTGGACCGGTTCAACCTAGGTCCAACCAGGTTTTATAATATTTTCTATTTTTAATTATTTGTGAATAATTATAATATATATTATCTTTTAAATGTGTACTTTAATAAATATATTCGGGTTTACGGTTTGACCGGCCAAAAAAATGGGTTTTACCTATTAAACCGTTTTTTTTTTTTTGCAATTTTCGGGTTTATAGTGCCAACCGGACCAGACAAGGTAGCGGTTCGCGGTTGAACCGGTCGAACCGGCCGATCCGGTCCGGGTTTCAAAACATTGGTTTTTTCGTAATATTCTCTTATATATTTTTAATTATATTAAAAATCTATATAAATAAAAGTTCACAAGTCCAGCTAATGAGCGTTTGAACAATAAAGTGAGAAGTTTGTATTGGTTCATTTGCCTTAATTTTCAATCACAGTGATATTGCTAATACAAATCATATACTTAAGTAGTAAGTAATTATGAATAGGGCTGTTAATTGAGCCAAACCCTATTAAAGTCCGATGGTTCAACCCCATTTTATTTGAGCTGAACTAATTTGATTGTGAGCATTGAGCAGGGTCGAGTTTGAGCCATAATATTAAACTCGGAAAGTTTATGAACTGAGTTTGAGCTTCCTATGGCTCAACCCAAATTAAATCCAATCGAACAAATAAGCTAAAAATTTATTAAACTCACTCTTTTAACATATTTCAGAACAATTATTTTATATAAGTAACACTAGTTAACAAAAACACTTTGCTAATGAATGATATTTTGAACTTACAACTTGTATTGAAGTTTTTTTCTAGCTTATGTTGGAAGTAATTTAATGAATTCAATATTTTTTTTAACATAAGAAATATTTATGGTTTTCATTTATTAGAATAATTCGTAATATTTATCTTATTTAAAAAGGTATTAGAATATATTTAAATATTTATATAGATTTATTTTTTCATCAAAAGACTAGTTTTATACCTTTTTAAATAGGGGTTTTTGTGCATATGTCCCTAAACAAGTATCTTTATTATTCTAAAATTAGGGGTTATATCTTTTCTCACCAATAAACTCATCCATTTGATATTTGTTATAAATAAAGGAAACATTCATGTATAGGGCAAAATTACCCCCAACCATCTATACTCAATTCTTGATTGTAACCCCAAGTTAATCAATTTGACAACAAAATCCAATTTTGACTTTCTTTTCTAAAAAAAAAATAATTTTGCCACCGTAGTCCGACGTTCACTTTTTTTTTTTTTCTTTTTCTTCTGGTCTGTTTTTTTCCGCCGGCGGATTCCGGCGTTGACTTTTTTCAGTGTTTTTTTAGATTTATTTTTATTATAATTTTTTTTTATAACT